CTGTCCACTTAGACGCTTGGCGCTTCTTAAAATTCTCTTGTCACATCGCCATAAAGCATGTCAGATTCACCTTTATGCCTCCTCTTATGTCCTCCATCAGATATCAAGTCCTCCGACCTTTTCTCTAATGTGCTGCTACAAGACAAATGTAAACAGCAAACATATGCATACTTAGATTACCACATCGCACAGATTAACATAAAAAAAAAAAGAAAAAAAAAATCCTCTAGAAAGAGTGATTACTCTGAAGTCTCAGTTCTGCTGATAGGGCTCCCCCTTTCCTGCAGACAGCAAGACGTTACAATTTTCTGTTTGTGGGTGATCAGGCACCATGACCAAAAACCCAGTTAATCAAGTTCATAGCAATACAAAAATTCAAATGTTTTGTAAGCAAAACCAAGTCAAGAGCTTCGAAACAACTACATTATTACTTCAGGCAATGAAGCCAAATTCAAATTGACACGACAAGAAGACCTTCCACCCATGAAACAAACCAGAAAATACGCAAAAGCCACAAGCAATCAATCAAATGCCCAGATAATCTCCTAATATTCATATTTAAATCTATCGCTGTAAATAATCACTCAAGCAATACATTAGATACTAGGAACCACGGATAGAGATACGAGATATGGGTACGATATAATACGGATACGACGATACGACAAAACTCAAAAGATAGGATATGGGTACGCTAAGATACGTCTGTAAACATATATTTTTACTATTATGTAATGACTTGATGTCTATAATTTTTAGCAATTCTTTAACAATAATAAACAAAATTAACAATTTTTTATTTTCAAAACTTACCTATCGTCTCACTATAATACATCGACAAAGTGAACATGATTAATTAAATGAATAAAAACTAATATTTAATTATATTTTTTGCTTAGAAGTATTTGTTGCAAAGATTATAGAGTAATTAACTCATTTAAAACTCTTTGGACATGTGATAATTGATAATGCTCGGAAAACATTCATGTGTCTTCTCAAGTCATGTGATTTTTTGTTGACGTATGTGAAATCAAAAGGAAGGGGTAAAGATTAAAACTAAAAATTACATATACTTGTTTACATATGGAAGTATCCATGAAGTATATATATATTTTATTTATTATTATATACGTTTAATGTGAATCTGATACATATTCTCGAGTATCGTATTATATATCATTTATTTTCTCTGTCCCTTCAGTCGAAGTGAAATAAAGTAAAATGCACATTATAAACACTTAAAAGAAAAAAGAAAAAGGCATAATGCTTGCCTTGGCGGAACAAAAGAACACGAAGAACACTACGATTCTAAGTGTATAGAACACACACTCTAAATCTACAAAGAAAGGAACAAGAGAATAACTATAAAAAAATGTATGCTATTCAATAAATAAGTAGAATTGTAAAATATAAGACAATTTATAGAAAAATTCAAAACCCTAGGAATTCTAAAATGGAAACAAATCTCTAGTCTTTGAAAAGTTACCAAAAACAAATAAACACTAATGTAGAATGAGAATTAACAATTATTCTATTTTTATTTTTATTTGTTTATTTTTATTATTTGGTTTGGGTGAGACTTTAATTAGGAATTTTTTAGAATATTTAATTGCCTAAATCAGGTCAATTTTCCTAATTCATTATACATGTGTTTATTTGTTTTTGATAACTTTTCTAAAACTAGAGATTTGTTTCCGTTTTAAAATTCTTAGGGTTTTGAATTTTCCTATAAATTATCTTATGTACTTCAATTCTACTCAGTTATTGAATAATATATCTTTTTTAGAGATATTCTCTAATTCCTTTCTCTTTGAATTCAGAGTGTGTGTTCTATACATTTAGAATCTTAGTGTTCTTCATGTTTTTTTGTTCCACTACGTCAGTTAGTATTAGAACCTTGCCTAACCTACTGTGATGGCCAATCAACGAATTGATAACAATCTTTTTAATGACGGTGATCATATGGAAGAGGCTCGCCCAAGAGCCGAATTCTTAAATTTTCAACGACAACAACAACTGTTTTAGCAATTCTAGCAATCCTTGCAAAAGTTGCAAGTTACGGTTGCCTAGTTAATGTTGGGTCCAAATTAGGATCTCATTTGAAATAAGGTGTTGAACGGCGATAGGACTCATGTTCTACTTTTTTGCGATTATAATCCTATTTATCATACGAGACGGTGTGTTCATGGTACAATTACCCGAGTATCACCTATTGCATATTGGAATGATGTTGAAGAATATAGTACATATCAATCCAAGACAATGAAGTAAGTGTGGATCGAGACAATTGATTCAAGGTAATGATACTGAGTCACAAGTTTTTTCATTATATGATTATTCTGCTCATCAAGTTCCATATTAGAAATCCATGAATGTAAATTTTCCAAGCACACCGAGGGATCAGAAAAGTGACGAGAAAAATACTAATCCACATATTCCGACAATTCATAATTATGAAAGTCCAAAAAAGAAAGATCAATTTGAACTGTGCATGTTGTAGGGGGCAGATGCAATCACAGACATTATAGCAAGCCGTGTAGGGATAGGAAAGATCAATCTCAAATACAAGGCAGATGCATGCGGGCACACCAAATTTTTGAAGTAATGGAAACTTGAAGACGAGTTTTTCTAAGAGGGAGGGTCTGATGTAGAACGAGAATTAGCAATTATTCTATGTTTATTTTTATTATTTTGTTTGGGTGAAACTTTAATTAGGGATTTTTTAGAATATTTAGTTGTTTAATCCATGCCAATTTTCCTAATTCATTAAACATGTGTTTATTTGTATTTTGGTAACTTTTCTAAGATTAAGGATTTATTTCCGTTTTGGAATTCTTAGGGTTTTGAATTTTCCTATAAATTATCTTATGTACTATAATTCTACTCAGTTATTGAATATTATACCTTTTTTAGATATACACTTAGAATCATAGTGTTCTTTGTGTTCCTTTATTCTGTTGTGTCATTAGAACATGCAAAATGCGTTTGATACATGCACAAGTACCGCAACAGGTTTCAGAAGTATTAATACAAAATTATTTTTCATCTGATTTTGCAAAATTAATCAATGTCTTCTAACTACGTAGGAACATATCTATAGTGTATGCTGCAAAATTAAAGAAACAGTTAAGTCTACATAAATATTAAGTACGCTCAAATTTTTCTTAGAATTTGGAAGTCCACAAAGGAAAAAATTAACTATTATCATCCAAAAACATTTTTGTGAGATGTTCCAAAGTAAAATCAACATCATGCAGCAAGATAGAAAGTTAAATTAAAGTATATATTACCCATTTTTCAGAAGATGTTGGTGTGAAGTTCACGCAAGCATCATGGTTAATCTCAGTGGAGATAACTAATCCGCCATCTCCTGCCTCCACATTGTATACTTTATCGACCAAATTCAGAGAACAATTATCTAGTGAAGGAGAACATGATGGATCTTTCATGGGACTTCCCTCTCCTGACCGCTGCATCTCCACAGAACCAGTTACTGAACATCCAGGATATTGCACACTTGGTTTCTCAAGACTGCAAGCGCTCTGTACTGATATATTCCCACAATTAGCACTATGCAGCTTTGAATTTTGATCCTCCAATAAGTTAAGACCTTTACTAGCTGATGTCAAGTTATGAACAGAATCACGGGCTAATTTTACCTGAATAGCACCAAAAACATTTGAATCAGCAGTTTTATTTTCCTCATCTGTTGGACAAGATTTTGTATCACGAACCATCTGGTTTGGTACATCAGAACTAAATCTAGATAAGACTGCAACATCTTTCCCTTCCTCCAAATGTGCAGACATTTCTGCAGAACCACTGCATGATTTTGCCGGCAAGAGTCCCAGTGACCAGTCCTCTCTCTGTGGTTGACCACATCCCACATGATCATTTTCATTCGTAATTAAATTCAGCAAGGAGTCAGTATGCACATGGCCGTTGTTCAGGTTCTTGTCTGAATCTGTATTCCAGAGAAGTGAACTCTCTATGTCCTTCTTACCGTTTCCTAAATATTCAAGCTCCTGACAAAAACTTTGAAATTTGTTTTTCTGCAAATTCTGACAAGTAAACACCTCATTTTCCAGTCTCATAGGCCAGTCTGACAGGCTTGAATCCAAATCAACAATAAGGTTGATCCCATCTTCCGATCTAACACAAAACTCAAAAGCAGGAGCTGGTGTACAAGATTTCCCAGAGGAAGCAATCGCGTTCTCTGCTGCATCATACTTTCCATTTCTATGCTGAATTCGGGTCATATTACACACCCCAACTGCTCCTGCAGAATCCAAAATGTTACTGGCAGAGCTCATTTCTGGGGAATCCAATATATATTCAGAACCATTCTCATCACAGCGATGCAATCTGTAAGCAGGATGTCTCTTTTTTCTTGCAAATTAAGTGGAGTGACTTCAAGATATCTGATATGAAGCATCCAATCAGAAATTTCAGTCCCTCGTACCTGCATCAACACAGGTATATAGATGAAATGCCGATTATTTTGTCTGCATTAACAACACAATGTGATAAGAGGTAACTGGGCTAGAAAGTTCAACACCCAGGCCATTTCCTGAAACCTGTGTGAAATGTTGCAATCTAGTATAATAACCAATAATTCGCACTTCCGAATAGAAAGATGTTAAAAAACAAATGCATTTGGACTATGCAGTGCAGGGCCAATAGGCTAATTGGGCCGATAGTTTTGGTGAGACATTTTATCAAGCAGGTGGACTACAAAATACACGCCTCGACTAAATTGGTTGAACATACCTATTAAAACCAACATACAGAAAAGTTGGACTTTTGTGTGCGTGTGTGTGTGTCACCTTTTTGTTAACATGGTTAAATATAGTATGTATATAAACTTTTTGCAAGCCTATTTTCACCGGCAAGAGTTCAAAACAATTGGTATCAGAGTTAGTACAGCAGAGTTAGCACCGCGTCAGAGTAAGGAATCGAACCCAGTGTTGACTGTAGTTCTCTACTGCCGAATCACGAAACAAACCACACATATAGGCTAATGACTTGGTAATATGTATGGATATAGTGTGCTATGTCACTAAATACGGGTTAGCGTCGACAATTCTACATAGACCAACGTCTTACCTACAAAGCTCATACATAGAAAAGAACCAGAGAAAAGTAAATACACCTTCAAAACGGCACGCCGGAGAATCTTGAAGTTGAATGTCTTGATCAAGGAACCCAGGAGAAAGCAGAAGCTTGGGCTGACAACACCACATCTACACTTGCAGTTTCCCTCCTTTTGGTTTGGTTTTGTTTTGGATTCTTTACTCGGTCAAACAAATTAATTACAATTGATTTTATATTCTGACAATTGATTTTGTATTCTCTCATCATGGTATTAAAAATCTCGATAATCTTCAACATGTCAACGAAATACGATTTCAGGACAGCTCTTAATTTAATGGGTTAATCTCATTTTGTACTCCGAAATATTGTTCGACTCTCAATTTATACTCTCAAAGATTAAAAATTTCAATTTATACCTTCAAAGATAAAAATTTGTATCAATGTGCACCCCCAAAGATCAAAAATCTCAATTTGCACCCTCAAAAATAAAAATTTATATCAATGTGCATCCCCAAAAATAAAAAATCTCAATTTGTACCTTCAAAGATAGAAATTGTATCAATGTGCACCTAAAATTAAATTAATAAATTATATCTTGATCCCCTCATGTTTGTCACTTAATCATTTGAACTCCTTCACATTTAGAATATTCTCCTTACATCTCATGACGTTTATGCATATGTAACACTTAACCACTTTTCGTTGATATATATTAATATAATCGTTAAAAAATATGATTTTATTCTAATATAAAATTATAATTTTATATTACCTTTTATTTTGTGGATTCGATATACTCTAAAATTGAAAATCAAGCTTATCATTTAAATGTCTAATAAAATGTAAATATTTATATAAAAGGTAATATGAAAAATATTATATAAATATTTATATTTTATTAGACATTCAAATGGTAAACTAGATTTTGAACTTTATAGTATATTGAACCTATAAAATAAAGGTAATATGAAATTATAATTTTTTATTAGGATAAAATTATATTTTTTAACGGTTATATTAATAGATATCAATGAAAATGGGTTACGTGTTATACGTGCACAAATGTCATAAGATGTAGGAGTAATATTCTAAATATGAAGATGTCTAAATGATTAACTGACAAATATGAGGGGATTTAGATATAATTTATCAATTTAATTTTAAGTGCACATTGATATAAATTTCTATCTTTGAGGGTGCAAATTGAGATTTTTTATCTTTGGGGTACACATTGATATAAATTTCTATCTTTGAGGGTGCAAATTGAGATTTTTGATCTTTGGGAGTGCACATTGATACAAATTTCTATCTTTGAGGGTGTAAATTGAAATTTTTGATCTTTGAGGATGTAAATTAAGATTCGAACAATTTTTCGGGGTACAAAATGAGATTAACCCTAATTTAATGGTCATTATCTTTTGGGTTAATGGCAAATTGTATTCCAAAAATCATTCAAATTTTAATTTATATTCTCAAAAATTAAAAATCTTAATTTACATTTTTAAAAATATAAATTTGTATCAATGCAAACCTAAAGCTTCCACCCTTTAGTTTGCAGTCTAAAATTAGTTGGATAAATTATATTTAAACCCCTTAAGTTTGTCACTTAATCACTTAAATTCCCTCATATTTAAAATATTACTCCTACACCTCATAACGTTTGTGCACTTGTAACATATAACCTCTTGTCTTTGATATCTGTTAATATAATAATTAAAAAATATGATTTCATCCTAATATAAAATTATAATTTTTATACTACTATTTATTTTGGGGCTCCGTCATACTATAAAGTTCAAAATCAAGTTTACAATTTGAATGTTTAATATAATACAAATACATAGTGTTTTTTTATATCCAATGTAATACATAAGTTGAACAGAATTATTTTGAATGTCCAATTGAGGTAACATTTTTAGTCATATTTGGATTCTCAAGGGATGTAGGTGTAATATTTCAAATGTGAGGGGTCTAAGAAACTAAGTGAAAGACATGAGAGGGTTTAAATGTAATTTATCTATTTAATTTTAGACTTCAAACTAACCGGCAGCTTCAGGTGTGTATTGATTCAAATTTATATTTTTGAGGATATAAATTAAAAATTTTAATCTTTAAGGGTATAAATTAAAATTCAAATAATATTTTGAAGTGCAATTTACAATTAACCCTTATTTTTTATTGGAGTTGAAAGTTCGGACGTCGTCTTTTCTCCCTTCCTTTTTATATAATTGTGTCTGATCAAAAAAGATTGGCTTTAAAACAAAATTAACACTAATTTTGAATAGAAATCCAAAATAAAGAAATCAAAAAATATGGTCATAATTAAATAAACTAAGCAATAACTCAAAAATGATTACGAAATTTGTTTTCCTAGGTAAGAGGATAAATCAAAATCAGATAGTGATGCTCTATAATTTATTTTGGATTGTGTTCTCATGAAAATAAATATAACATTGGGAGTAATTATTAATTAAATAATAATAATGTAAAAAGATAATACATAATAAGGTATATATTAAAAAAATATTAGGAATAATAATAAAATAGCATTACTTATAAAATAATGATAAGAATCAGATTGTGATTAAAAACAAAAAATTATAGAAAGGGTCCAATTAGAAATGCCCATATCAAGTAGCTTGGTGGCATTTCAAATTGAACACTAGAAAACTAAGATCACTAGAAATTTGCATGTAAACTAAGATCACTAGAAAACTATTTCCTAAGGTTGAAAGAACTTCGTCTTTATTAGAATTAATACATTGGGATGTATGTGATTTGCATGACACACCTAATAGAGTTGACAAGAAATATTTTGTGATATTTATAGATGACTATTCAACGTTTTGTTATGTTTATCTTTTGAATTCTAAAGATGATGCTTTAGAGAAATTCAAAATTTATAAGAATGAAATAGAAAATCTAGGTAACACTAAAATTAAGTACATAAGGTTTGATAGGGGTGGTGATTATCATTTTTCTCAGCTTTGTGAAAATGTAGTTATAGTACATGAAGTCACAACGCCACATACTCTACAACAAAATGGAATAACAAAAGAAAGAACATGACACTAACTAAAATGAGCAATGCTACGTCTTGTTATTCGAGTTTAGATAAAAGATTTCGGAGAGGAACCTTGTTAACTACAAGTCACATATTGAATAGAGTTATCATAAAAAACGCAAAAATAACACCCTATGAATCTCGGAGGAAAAGAAAACCTAATCTAGATTACTTAAAAATTTGGGATTGTAGAATCATTATAAGTTATGAACCTAAAAGGAAGAAACTAGGCAACAAATGATTGAGTGCATTTTCTTGGGATATGCGCAATATAGTGGTTGTAAGTTATGAACCTATATATTCTTTGTAGTTGTATCCAATGAATCAATTGAAATTAGTACTATCATAGAATCTTGAGATGCAAAATTTTATGAGAATGGGTTCTCTAGTGTTCCAAAATTAAAAGAATCTGAATAGGTAGTTGAAATATCAAGAGTAGCTTCAAAGGAAAATGAACCAAATGAAACTAGTAACCAAGTGGAACTTAGGAGAATTAAAAGAGTTAAGACTGAGAAATCTTTTGGTCCAGATTTTGTGGTTTACTTGGTAGAATGAGATAGAAAAACTACTTGTAAGCAAATGATTTTTACCTAATCAATGGAATCGGATCTTGAAGAAGCTATGAAATCTCAATATTCATCTGTTTGGAAACAAGTAATAAATGATGAAATGGATTCCATTATGAGCAACAAGACTTGGAAATAAATTGACTTACCCTCGTTCTCGAAACCTTTTAAGTGTAAGTAAATTTTTAAAACCAGATTAGTGGCAAAAAGATATACGCAAAAGGAAGTTATTAATTGTTTTGATACCTATGCACAAGTAGCCAGAATTTTCACAATTAGAATCTTAATTATTTAAGCCTTAATTTATAAGTTTGAAATACATGGAACAACTTGAGGGTTTTGTTACGAAAGGCCAAGAGCAAAAAGTTACGAAGTAGTTGTGTCAAATTGGTTTAAAATTCATGAATCTAATAAGTGTGTATATAGCAGATTTACTAATGGAAAATGTTTGATAATATTTTTGTTCATCAATGACATGCTAATACTTAGTACTAACTGAGTTAGATAGTATTAATAGTACTCAAGATTTTTTGTCTTATAACTTTAACATGAAAGCTATGGGTATTGTAGATGTGTTCTTAGGAATTAGAATAATAAAGCAAGATAACAATTTAATTTTATCTCAATCTTATTACATTGG